ACTTGGTAATTAGAGACGTTCTCTTTCGTCAACTCTCAGCTAAGCAGCAGACGCGGAAAAACCAGCCTCGAAAATCCGTCGAGAGCGACCAGTTCCGCGTGTCAGAATCCCAACCACTAGACCATTGGGATAAAAGGGCTTGTTTGAGTAGCGGGTCAATGCGCCCATAACCCCCCAGGCGAACGCGTCTGTAACCCTCTCCAGGATCAATCGGGCATCCACAGTGCAGATCTACTGACACCGCGCTTTTCATATTAACCCCCCCACGTGGTTTCTGAACAGGATGGGATCGCCGACGACCAACGATGTTACGCAGCAGCTCTTCACGCAAATCGCCAAGATGGAAGCGAAGATGCAAGCGACGACCGAACGGCCGCGATTGGAGAACGAGCAGCTGTGATACGAACTGCAGCGCGTTTCGGAGCTCCTCACGACCATGAACATTCCTGCTTCCTCGACTTCGCAGCAGTCGCAGCGTCAGTTCGAGGCTCTGAAACTTCAATCGCCGGAATCGTTCGACCCCAACGACAGGAAATCGGACGTCAGGCGATAGCTCGCAACGATCGAAAATTATTTTGCGACAATCGGATGGTCGACGGCGAAAAAAGTCGTCTCGCCACAACGTTGATGCACGGTCCAGCTCTCGAGTGGCTCGGAAGCAACAGTAGGAATTTCCAAGGTGAAGCCACGTGGCAGCAGTTTCGTGCAGACCTGCTCAAACGTTTTGAGCCGATCAATTTTGCACATATTGCGCGAGAAAACATACATTACCATCGGCAATACGGGAGTGTCGCGCAACAGAAGCAGCAGATGGAAGAATTTTAAATCGCATTCCCGACATTACCGAGGGTGAAAAAAATCAGTCCTACATCGCGGGGCTGAAAAACGATAATCGTCGCCAGTTTGAAGCAGCTACATCGAGATCGTATCGGCCGCGGAGCTTTTTGACTTGGTCAACTCCGTAACACGACGACCCCAAGTCGTCGGATCACAACAAGGAGATCGTCTGCGTCATCCACGTTCGCCGAATCCATGGAAGTCCACAAACTCGACGAAAAGTCACGCTCTCTAAATAACAAAACGAATTGCGATTTTTGCAGCGCAAACGGTTATCGAATCGTCGACAGTTTTCACATGAAATCTGCACGTGCAGCATTCCGAGCTCAAGGGAGTGGCGAAACTAAAGACAAAAAGTCAAAAAACGCATCTCGCCAGTACACCCTTATTCGCGCCACACTGACATTCGACCAAACACTTTGTGTGACTGCAGCGTGCCCGGAATGGTGCTAGCACCTTGTATACATGCGCAATCACGACTGCCAACTTGGTTCGCACAGCTGTTGACTTTAACAGACCTGGAAGGGTGGCTGAATCAAGATATGGTTGTACAGTGCGTGGACATGTGCGAAACCCGTGGGAATTCTCCAGAAATGACTTAGGGAATCACATTGACTGGCTCAATGAATGGCAAACCTGACTTCAACCCCCCTGATGCATCCGTGGCACATCTGGAAATCCAAAACCCCTTCCTACCACGTCAAACCGGAATTGTGCAATTCAATATTGAAATCGAAGAAATCCACCAAATTCCATTGCATTCGCCAATGGCGACTCTGCGAGCAACATTGGCTGGAAATAAGAACTTGTCAAATTTCCATAGACAACAACCAGAGAAGGTTGTCAGAATTATATATAACTGCATGTAGTTCTAGCTATAGTGTAGTCATACATTTGTTCTTGCTTGGTGGTGCACCCTTCCTGAACTATAACTTGTACTTGTTTCTCATATTGCATCATTCCTCATTCTTCACATTGTATCAGAGCGAAGGTCTCGGGTTTGAATCCCAGTGTATGCACTTCGGGCATCCCAGTGCGGGGGGGTGTCAAAGGTCCACTGGTGATCCCTGATTGATCCTAGGGAAGGGTTACAGGCACGTTGGCCTGGGGGGTTATGGGTGCACTAACACGCTACTTAACAAGCCCTTTTATCCCAATGGTCTAGTGGTTGGGATTCTTACAAAGGTTGCAAGATGGGACGCATTTCTCTCATACGCTACATGAAACGTGCTATCTGCAAGCACCACCAGGCTAACAAGACGCAGCCGCATGATGACCTTGCCGAGTGGGTTGCAGAGCAATTTAACGTGGTTCCATCGCGCACTCCCATAACCAGGGTGTTGCAAGATAAGGCAGTGTCAGGAGAATGAACGAGGAATGGATGAACTAGCAGCATGCAGGAGTACAAGAAGTAAACCCTAATTGGGTTGTATCCCATATGGGCTACCCCACTACAGCATACACAACATGCAGCATATTAGTTTGACACACCCCCATAGGCAAAGTGGGGGAGAACAAGAGGTCACAAGACCAGTCAAGAAGAGCAAAGCAAGCTCAGGGTGGATCACAAAGTCACCATGCATTCTGAGCACAAGCAAATGGCCACAAGGCCAGTTCACATGCAGAGTTATATAAAAGAGAACAAGCATTACAGTGATCACAACCTAGCAAGTGTAAGCATGCAGGTACAAGTATACAGATCACAGTACAAGCAAAGTCAAGAAGTGAGCAAGTGAGGCCAATTAGGCACAAGGCCTAGAACAGTACAGAAGCGCTGATGACCACAAGGCTGAAGTGCCTTGGTGAAGATATCAGCAGTGTTGGCCCGAGGGGCCGCATAAGCAAGATGAAGCTGACCACGTTGTTGCAACTTACGAGCAAGGAAGTAGCACAGAGCGATGTGCTTCGTCCTATGCTCTAGTCTGTGCTCCTGACACAAGGCAATCATGACCTTGTTGTCGATGTACAGAACTAGAGGAGAACGAGGTGGCTCTCGTAAGTCTGTCAGCAGGTAGGTGAGCCTATGTAACTCCTGTGCAGCCATGGCCTCTGCGTATATCTCAGCCTCACAACTGGAACTGAGAACAGAAGACGAGCGGGTAGACCGCCACGAAACAGAGCTGGAGCCAAGGCTGAAAGTGTAACCATGTGAAGACCGCTGCGTAGCCAAGTCGTCAACCCAAGAAGCGTCTGCGTGACCAGTGAGGACAACTCGAGCCCGTCCTCCAAGCACGAGCCCCATGCCCGACGTACTGCACAAATAGCGCATCACCCTCTTAGCGGCCTCCCATTGCTCTAGTCTATGTCTCTCAGGCGCAACGTAGCGTGCTAGGATGCTAAGAGGGCATGCCAGGTCAGGTCGAGTGCAGGTCATCAGGTACATGAGGCAACCCACAAGCTCTGGATACGGGCCACTCGGCTCTACAGACTCATCCAAAGGCAGAGCTGAGAGCGAGTGACCGGTAGGTAGAGGGTTGGACTGTGGCGAGCAGTACGTAAAGCAAAAGCGCTGAAGGACCTGCTGCACCATGTGTGACTAAGTCAAGGTAATGGTGCGCTGTGCTCTGTCCTGGGTGATCTGCAAGGCAAGATAGCTGTGCAGCTCACCCAGGTCTGTGCACGTGTGTCTCTTTTGCAGCTCCGACTTCACATGGGCGAATCCCTCAGTGTCAGCAGTGGCAAAGACCAAGTCGTCGACGTACACGAGGATGTAAAACGGCGGCAGAGAAGTGTCGGTGCGTAGAACCAGCGACAGGTCAGCAGTCGAAGGAGCAAACCCAAGAGCCGCAAGCGTAGTCCTCAGTGTGTCGTGCCACTCGCGAGGCGCCTGGCGGAGACCGTAGACTAGCCACTTGAGGCTCCAATGGGTACCCGCAGGAAACGACCCAGTGAAGCCAGGTGGGTGGCGCAGCCAGATCTCCTCGTGTAGGCTGCCCTGTAGGAAGGCTGTGCTAAAGTCAAGAGAGTGAAGCTCGTAGTCACGCCGAGCAGTGACGTGAAGCAGTGCCCAAAGAGTAGTCATCTTCGGGGTAGGGGAGAAGGACTAGAAGAAGTAAACTCCATGTCGCTGACTGAAGCCACGCAATGATGTGCACCCGCCCCGACCTCGCCTACCCCATCAGCGTGCTCGCTCGCTTTGTTGGCACCGGTCATCACTCTGAGGAGCACTGGAAAGCTGCCAAGCGGGTCCTCCGCTACCTTCGCGGGACGAGGGACCTTGCCCTCACCCTCGGCGGCCCTTCCCGTCCCCTTCTCTTGGGCTTCAGTGACTCCTCCTGGGCCGACATGCAGCCGGACCGCCGCTCCTCCCAGGGCTACGGCTTCACCCTTGGCAGCGGCCTCATCAGCTGGCGCTCCACCCGCTCCTCCGCTATCTCTCTCTCCACCTGCAAGGCAGAGCTCTACGCTGGCACCATGGCCGCCCAGGAGTCGCGCTGGCTCTGCTTCCTTCTTGCAGAGCTTGGCGCCCCCCAAACGTGCCCCACTCTCTGGTGCGACAACACCAGCACCATCCATCTCACTCAGGACCCCATCTATCACGCCCGCTCCAAGCACATCGAACTCCACTACTTCTTCGTTCGCGAACTCGTCCAGAAGGGCCTCATTGCCGTTCGCAAGATTGCAACCGAGGCCAACTTGGCCGACATCTTCACTAAGGCCCTCCTTCGCCCCGCGCACTCTGCTTTCCTCCGCCTCATTGGCCTTGCTCGCCCGGGCGCCCCTTGACTCAGGGGTTGTTCTCTTCTTGTGTTAGCATGCTAAGGGGTTGTGTTAAAATATATATTGTTAGCATGCCAACACATGTGACTGTACACCAATTGTGGTGTACAGTTGGGTTGGGACTACACCCAACTTTGGGTGTAGTCTTGCACTCTGGGGTGCCAATCCACCCAATTGTGGTGGAGCCCCCAAATGCAACCCTCTTGACTTGTGGGTACCTCACTTCCCACAATTGAGGTTCCCCCAAGCCAAGTGGGCCTAGGGTTGCCTCACTTCTACAAAGTATGGGCAACCCAACCCACTTGACCTATGGTTCCCTCATCCCCCCAAGTGAGGTCAACCCAACCTATGGTCACTTTGATCCTTCCCTTCCATCCTTCCCTTCCAACCTTTCCTTCCAACCATGTATGCTAGGTTGTCCCCCTAATCTAATCGCTTTTTGTTCAATTTACAATCTTCACACTATCTGCCTCCGCCGCCCGTTGCCCCGCTGCCTCCCCCGCCCCGCCCTCCGCTGAGTCATTCTTCCCGCTACCCCCACCACCATCGCTCCCCCCACCCGCTGCCGCGTTCCCCCCAAGCGCAAGCCCCATCCCCAGCTTCTGCAGCGCTGCCAGCTCCTTCTCTCCGCGCTCCGCCTGCTCTCTCTCCGCGCTGATTTCCGCCAGCGCGCCCAGCCAGCGCGCCAGTGCCTCTTTGCGCTCCGCCCCGCACGCCAGCATCGCCACCTCCTCGATGCGCCGCACGGCGTGGCGGAAGCTGTTGTGTTGCCGCGCCAACGCGCCGCCCTGCGCGGGGGGTGGGAAGGTGGAGACGCGAGGATTGGCGAGACCGTGAGATGGAGGCAAAGGCACATGCTGAGCACTCAAACGCGATGGAGAGTGAAGGCATGCAGCGGCGGCAAAAGCATAGCGCGGGCGGGCGGTGGAAGGGATGCGCAAGGAATGACGCGGGGGGCGCTCGCACAGCGTGGCGGCTTCGGCGGCGGCGGCGGCGGTGGCAGGGAGACGCACCACAGCGTGTTCGGCGTGCTCGTAGACCATCTTGGCGCCCTGCTCCACCGCGTCGCCCGCCAGCAGCACGGCGTCATTGGCGCGCTGCACCACCGACGACGCGAACGAGCTCGCGCGCTCGAACCCCGACCCCACCGCCTTGCCGCTCGCATTGGCGGCCTCCGCGCCTATGCTGAGCGCGGAGCGGAACCACGACATGGCGGCGCGGCGGCGGGCTGGGGGCCTCGGGCCCTACGGTGGGGGGTGAGGAGGCCTAGGGGGAAAGTGAGGGCCAAGGGTGGGGTAAGGAAGCACGGGAGTTCGAATAGCAGCCGGCGAGTGCGGAGACGAACGTGCGCGGAGGGACGCAGAAATAAGGCACGCGGAGCCGTGAATCTACTAGTAAGGGGCTCTGAAAGATGCGCGATAACACATGCGAGAGGTGAGAGACTACTTATCTCAGGCCTTGCGGAACTAACTAAGATGCGAGAAGCTTCTGTTGGGTGAAATGCGCGCCAGTGCCGCTTGTAAAATGCGCCTCATCAAATCTCAAGATTTCACCCGTGGTAGGACCACATAGCTTCATACAAGTGGGTGGGGTGAAGGGCGAGGAGGAGGATAGGCTTGGGCGAGGGAGCTACAGTTTGGAAAGCAGAAATCAACTGACCCCACCCCATCTAATAGCATCCGCGGCACACCCCAAGGTTTGTTGTAACGGAGATGGTTGTCCAGATGCACACACAACAAACAGATATTCCAGCTACCTTCAAAACGAAATCCTGAGTGGAAGGAAATGTTCATAGCATGTATCTAATGAGTTTGAGTTGTCAAACAGAGATGCGCTGAATGACGAATAATGAAGATGTCAGGGGAAACTTTATCAGTGTAAATTACCCTGGTACCTTAATAACCAGGCTGGATTATCGTAGTCACACTTTTGCTTAGATTTTTCTATAATCAATAAACGGTTTCCCATCTCAAAATAAGTAGGAGAGAACAAAAGGAGGAGGAGAAGGGGGGGGGGGGGGGGGGGGGGACGCACGGCCGCCCCGGGCGCCAAAGCAAGCGGCAGAGGGGGCGACAACTGTCCACCCCTCTCAGTTCGCACGCGGCCCCCTCAGGTCGCCTCGACAGGTGACGGGAAGAAGGGGGGGGGGCGGTGCACTTGCCCCCGGTGTGCCGCAGTTGATGACGAGACAGGGCCGGGACGGGGTCGGGACCGCAAGTGGGTGGGGCGGCAGGTGGCGACGGGGCCTCAGGTGGCGGGGCCGCAGGTGACATAAGGGCCTCTGGTGGCGGGGCCGCAGGTATAGGAGACGGGGCCGGGGCCGAGAGCAGCGACGGGGCCGCAACAGAGGGCGGCGAGGCCGCAGTGAAGGGCGGCGACGGGGCCGTAGCAAGGGCGGCGGGGCCGCAGTGACGGGCGGCGAGGCCGCGACGTAGGGCGGCGGGGCCGCAGGAGTAGGGCAGCGAGGCCGCAGATTAGGGCGGCGGGGCCGCGAATCAGTGGCGGCGGGGCCGCGACAGCAGAGAGGCGGCGAGGCCGCGACAGTAAGGCGGCGGGGCCGCGACAGCAGAGGGCACACCACGGGGCGTGCAGTACACTCAGTAGCAGCGGAAGCAATAGGCCAGGATCGTAACTCTCTCTGATAGCATGTGAAAATAAGTAGGTGAATGCTAGCAAGGCTTGAGCTAGGCTAAGGAGCCATAGCTAGTTAGGAGCCTTGGTTGATTGAGTTCGAGTAGTTTGAGAGTCGAGGAAGTTGAAAAGAGAAGGAGGGGGTTTCACTATAGAGAGAGAAATACATATAGGCAAGAAGAAAGGTGCACCACCAAACAGAATATTGTATAACTACAGTAGTCTACACTACAGGCAGTTACAAAACAATATATAGATTTATATATTATTCTGACAGTAACATGTCGTGTTAGTGATTCTTACCCTGAAGCGAGTAAAAGGCTTATTCCCGGGGTGCCCCCACTCCCACCGACCTGCACTTGGGTCCCCGACGCACGAATCCCGAAACTTCGCCAGTCATGTATGTGTGCTGGCAGTAGTAATGCTTATGATATGTCATTTTTACAGTTATCAATCTTGCCAACACATAATTTCTGCTAGTCTTTTTCAAATTGTTATTTGCTCTGTAGGCTGTAGTAGGGTCATTCCTTAGAGAGTACAACCCTTTTAGGGTTCCTACATGTATCCCACCTGCCTGCTAGTGCACCTCTCTCTTCTTCCATTTCTCCTTCCTAAAACCTAAGCCCCAACTTGGCTTAGGATTCTAACATGGTATCAGATCATCTACGCTCCTGGCCTGTGGGCCTACTTGCTTCCGCTGCTGGGCGCGCGACGTTTTTTCTTCCCGCCACGCGCTCGAGGCCCGTGGCGGTTTCCTGTCCGCCACGCGCCCCAGGCGCGCGCGACGGTTTCACGCCCCGTCGTTCGTCGCGGCGCCCCCAGGGACCCGCGCGCGGCCCCTTATCGCCTGTCGCGGCGCCCCCGGAATTTAGCGCGCCGCCCCCGTCGTTCGTCGCGGCACCCCCGGGGACCAGCCTGCCCCCCCCCCCCCCCCCCCCCGGTCGTCCGTCGCGGCGCCCTCGGGGACTCGCGCGTCGCCCCCCGTCGAGGCGCCCCCAGGGACCCGCGTGCCGCCCTCCTGGACCCACCCCTGCTGCCTGTGCCCTACCCGTTGCGAGCGCCCCACAGCCCGCCCGCGCCCTGAACGTCGCGACGCCGCCCGCCCTCCCCCCTCCTCCGATTTCCTGCTGCGCGTGCAGCCGTGTGGAGGGTATGGGGGTGGCGGGGGTCGGGGGGTATGGGGGTGGAGGGAGCGCGTGACCAGCTGCCCCTCCTCCTCCTCTCTCTCCCACTACTGTAGCTACCGCTGAAGGGGGGATGGAGTGGGTGAGGTTGGGGAGTGGCGCTAGGGCCGAGGGGTGTGACAAGGGGGGGGGTGGGACAATCCGAGGGGGTGGAGGGCGGGTGGCTGCCGTGAAGTCCACAGCTCTAGACGCCCGTGAGACCGTTGCGTCAGAGGCCCGTGGGTCAGTTGCTCTTGCCGGCGAGCGGGCCAGTTACTCCGGTTACCCGTTGCTCCGGTCCCCGGAGGGTCAGTTGCTCTTGCCGGCGAGCAGAGCCAGTTGCGCCGTTTGTGACTAGAGCCAGCAGCTTCAGCGGCCGCCCACCTCCTCTCCTCTCCAGTTTCCTCCTCCTCCTCACTTGCCCTCTGCTTCTGCCACTAGTCTTTGATTGTGAACTGGTTTCGCGACTACTTGTTGTGTAGGCTATCCCCCACTTCGCCTATGGGGGTGTGTCAAATTGTTATTTGCTCAGTAGGCTGTAGTGGGGTCATTCCTCAGAGAGTACAACCCTTTTAGGGTTCCTACATGTATCCCACCTGCCTGCTAGTGCACCTCTCTCTTCTTCCATTTCTCCTTCCTAAAACCTAAGCCCCAACTTGGCTTAGGATTCTAACAGTCTTCTTTGTCAAAATAATTTACATATTGTGTAGGCTGTAGTGGGGTAGAGGGTATACTGTACTGAGTACAACCCATTAGGGTTAGCACTACTTGTACTACTTACTCATGCTAGTACACCTCATTCCGCTGTATTGATCATGCCATGGTTTCAGAGCGGTCCGCTTCGTAGGACTGTTTTTTTTTTTTTTTAGGCCCACCATACGTTCTGCCCTGCCTGTTTTTACTGCCCTGCCCACTAGCGTGCGCACTGCCCCGCACGCCCCCGCACGCCCCCGCACACCCTGCGCGCTAGTGCGCCCTGCTGCCTAGCGCGCCAGTTCGCCTTACTTGTCAGAATGTTATGTGTTGTGTAGGCTGTAGTGGGGTACTCAACATAGAGTACAACCCTTTTAGGGTTTCCTATATGCACTCCACCTGCCTGCTAGTACACCCCCCCCTTCTTCTGTTCACATCCTCGCTTAAATATTCTGACATGGTATTCAGAGCAGGCTCTTTCCTTGAGCCTTCCTCAATGGGCCCACCGTTCGTTTCCGCTGCTGTTCTTTCAGTTGCGCGCCCCGGGCACGTGACTATTTTCCTACCGGGGCACGCGACGTTTTCTGCCTGCCACGCGCCCTGGGCGCGCGGCGGTTTTCTGCCCGCTTCGCGCCCTGGGCGCGCGGCGGTTTGGCGCGCGACGGTTTACTTGCACCCGTGCGCCGCCCCGTGGCACCCGCGCGCCGCCCCGTTCACCCGCGCGCCGCCCCGGTGCACCCTCGCGCCGCCCCGTGCACCCGTGCGCCGCCCCATGCACCCGTGCGCCGCCCCTCTGTAGCCACGGGGCAGCTTCTTCCCCGCCCCCCCGGCCCCCCCTTCTCCTTCCTCTCCCTGCTGCGTGTGCAGCCGTTGGGGGGAGGGTATGGGGGTGGCGGGTATGGGGGTGGCAGGTGTGAGTAATCTGCTGCTCCTCCTCTCTCTCCCATTGCTGCAGCTGCCGCTAAGGGGGGGAGGGTGTGGGGGAGCCGAGGGAGTGGCGCTAGGGATGCAGAAGGGGGTGTGGAAAGGGGGTGTGTGACAATGGGGGAGGATGAAAGGAGGTAGCCGCCATGAAGCCTGCAGCTCTAGTAGTCCGGATGCCCTTTCTCCGGTAGCCCGCGAGCCCATTGCTCCAGTCGCCCGTGGGTCAGTTGCTCTAGCCGCTCGACTAGCCGCGGAGCCAGTTACTCCAGTAGTCCGGATGCCCTTGCTCCGGTAGCCTGTGTGCGAGTTGCTCCAGTCGCCCGTGTGCCAGCAGCTTCAGCTGCCGCCTCCTACCTCCTCTCCTCTCATAGTCCCCCCTCCCCCTCCTCTCTTGCCCTCTAGTTCTGCCACTAGCCTTTGCTTATGACCTAGTCATGCGATTGCTTGTTGTGTTGACTATACCCCACTTTGCCTTTGAGGTGTGTCAGAATGGTATGTGTTGTGTAGGCTGTAGTGGGGTACTCAACAGAGAGTACAACCCTTTTAGGGTTTCCTTTATGTACTCCACCTGCCTGTTAGTACAATCCCCCTTCTTCTGTTCATATTCTCGTTTAGTATTCTGCAGGTACAAGAAGATATAGCAAACCCTAGAAAATAGGAATGTAACACATAGACAAACCTAAACAACACATATAAAATATATTTTGACACACCCCCATAGTTTGGGTGATGGTAGCCCTATGGAAAGCAACATATATCTCAGGGTGGGTATCAAGGAGACATACAGTTTGAGAGCAAGCAAGGGTCACTTGACCAGTTAGCAAGAACAAGCAAGGGTAATGTCCAGTCAGCACGAACAAGCAAGGTTCACAAGACCAGTCCACAAGAACAAGACAAATCTCAGGGTCGAGCTCAAAGTCGCCACACACTCCAAGAGCAAGCAAGGGGCCATAAGGCCAGTCCACATGTAGTTGTATAGCAAATATATGGAAACGCAAGAGTACAAGACAAGCAGGACAAAGCATCTCTACACAAGCAAGTGAGGACAAGCAGCCATACGGCCAAGCTGGGTGCAGAAACGGTAGTGGTCACAAGGCGACAACACCTTGGTGAAGCCATCTCTTGTGTTGGCCTCAGAGACCACATGAACGATGCGAGCCTGGCAAC